CACGAAGGAGTGGGCTCTACATATGGGACGTTCCTAGTGTATGGAAGCTGTACTCGTCTAACCTAAAGTGTAAGTTGCTACAATAAAATTTGTTATATTTTTATATATACGCTGATCCCTGGTCTATTTATGAGGTCTGTGGAAAAGGCAGGAGACGTTATCTGATCCATGTGTGGAGACAGTTTCATCTTTAAATATGGACTCTATGCTGACTTTATCTTGAAAGGGGGTAATTATGCACTCCATCTATTGTGTGCAGTGAAGTGGTTTACTTTAATCATACCCTGAGGATTTCACGATTGCTGTGACACTTTTAGTGTTCTTTTTGCATGTTACACGTGTGGCACATAATATACATATTTTGTTTTTAGGGTAATACACTATGTTGAGTTTTTTGTTTTTTTTGAGGTACCGGAAGATTATTTGGAACGTGTCACCAATCCAATCCGGGGATAAAGATAAATTAAGAGATCACTTTTAAAGATTTTGGACTTTTTTTGGACTTTAGGTGTATGGGACTTTATTTATACTATATTTGATATTTTTTTACATAGGTTATAATATGTTTGGGTAGTCACTTATTTTTGCTTATTGGATTATTTTATTTAGTGAACAGTAGGATCAACCAGATTTTTGCAGAATACAGAAAATGAATCCCATAGTGACTGAGTGAATATGAATGGAAGGTAATACAGCCTGTACTGATGATATGGGTTTAATGACACTTTAAAGTGGTTCCAAAGGCTGAAGGTTTTTTTCTTTTTATCTTAATCCATTCTCTGCATTAAAAGCAGACCTTCGCCCTCCCGTGGCGATCTCCTCCTTTCCATCTGTCCCCCTCCCCACTGCAGTGCTGATATCAGGTTATTTTTTTGGCTTCAAAAGCTCGGCCTGCTCCCCAAATTCCGGAATTCACCTAGGTGAATGACACGGTGCCCGCAGTGCTTCCCGGAGTTCATGACATGCAGTCCCATTCAGTACGGAGGAGGGAGCAGGCCTAGCCCCCGTGCAGCAGCTACAGAGAGGAGGATCCCAGTAGTTCAATGCTGGATCCATTGGCTAGGAGAATAGTCTTACTGTGCAGAAGACAGTAAAGGTAGGGGAACAAATGGGGGGAGGGGAAAGGCTGAAGTTCCTATTTAGGGTAAAAAAAAACCTTCTTTGTCCAGATCCCCAACCAGCCCCCTCCCCTTTCTTATACTTACTTGAGCCCAATCTTGATCCAGTGCTATGCAGGAGATCAGTGGCACTCTCCACACTCTCCCTCCTCATATACCCAGAGACAGCCGCAGTAGCCATTGGCTCCTACTGCTGTCAATCACAGCCAGTGAGGAGGGAGTGGGAGGCTGAGCCGAGCCATACTTGGGTGTCTATTGACACACAGAACTGCCCTCAGAAGTGAGCCCACACAAGTGTCTTCATAGCAAGCCACTTGCTATGGCGGGCACTCGTCACGGACAAAAAAAAAAGTGGAACAAAAATTCTCTGAATACTCTCCTAAGACTCAATCTTGGTGTGACTAGGTAAGGGGAAAAATGGGGGGAGGAGAAAGGCTGAAGTTCCTATTTAGGGTAATAAAAAACCTTCTTTGTTCAGAGAGGAGGATCCCAGTAGCACAATGCTGGATCCATTGGCTAGGCCAGGGGTCTGCAACCTTTAAGACATAAAGAGCCACTTGGACCCGTTTCCGAGAGGGAAAAAAAGACTGGGAGCCGCAAAACCATTGCAACATTTAAAACAAATCCGACACTGCATATATTGCAAAAAGCGCTCTGGTCATGAAGGGGGTTTAAGGGCCCAGTAAGCAAAGGGTTAATCAGGGCCACAGTGTATCGTCATAATCACAATCATAGCCTTAGGTCAGTGGTGGGCAACCTTTTTTTTTCAACTGAGCCAAATCTCACCAAAACCACGATTGAAATTTATTTTGAGAGCCACATTTTTAAAACTGAAAATACATCCCCCATATAGTAATTCATCCCCCATATAGTAATTCATCCCCCATATAGTAATTCATCCCCCATAGTAATTCATCCCCCATATAGTAATTAATCCCCCATATAGTAATTCATCCCCCATAGTAATTCATCCCCCATATAGTAATTCATCCCCCATATAGTAATTCATCCCCCATAGTAATTCATCCCCCATATAGTAATTCATCCCCCATAGTAATTCATCCCCCATAGTAATTCATCCCCCATATAGTAATTCATCCCCCACATAGTAATTCATCCCCCATAGTAATTAATCCCCCATATAGTAATTCATCCCCCATAGTAATTCATCCCCCATATAGTAATTCATCCCCTATAGTAATTCACCCCCCATATAGTAATTCATCCCCCATAGTAATTCATTACCCATAGTAATTCATCCCCCATAGTAATTCATCCCCCATATAGTAATTCATTCCCCATAGTAATTCATTCCCCATAGTAATTCATCCCCCCTATAGTAATTCATCCCCCATATAGTAATTCATCCCCCATATAGTAATTCATCCCCCATATAGTAATTCATCCCCCATAGTAATTCATCCCCCATATAGTAATTCATCCCCCATATAGTAATTCATTCCCCATATTGTGTCAATTCACTTACCTTTGCTCCGCGCGTTCCTCTCGCCATGTTCCCGCGCCGTTCCAGTCTTCAGGGCGGACTGTGAGAGGAGAGGAGTTCGTCACGCTGCCCCGCCTACATCCTGACAGCCAATGTTTGCCACGCTCCGCGGGCCGGATTAAAAGGTCCGCCGGGCCGTAATTTGCCCATTGCTGGGCTAGCTGCAGAGTCCTGACTCTTCGCCCGAGAGGAGGGAGGGGAGCGGACGCCTGGCACACAGAAGAAGAGCTGCATTAAAATGTGTAAAGAGCCGCGGCTTGCCGACCACTGAGCTACGGCAACCCTATTGCCTGTCACCTGGTGGGCAGTGTGCTCCGGAGCCGCAGCAAAGGTGAAAAAGAGCCGCATGCGGCTCTGGAGCCGCGGGTTGCCGACACCCGGGCTAGGTGAATAGCCTTACTGTACAGAAGACCGTAAAGGTAAGGGGAACAAATGGGGGGGGGGAAAGGCTGAAGTTCCTATTTAGGGTAATAAAAAACCTTCTTTGTCCAGATCCCCAACCAGCCCCCTCCCCCTTCCTATACATACTTGCTCCCAATCTCGATCCAGTGCTATGTAGGAGATCAGTGGCACTCTCCACTCTCTCCCTCCTCATATGCCCAGAGACAGCGGCGGTAGCCATTGGCTCCTGCTGCTGTCAATAACAGCCAGTGAGGAGGGAGTGGGAGGCTGGGCCGAGCCATACTTGGATGTCTATTGACACACAGAACTGCCCTCAGAAGTGAGCCCACACAAGTGTCTTCATAGCAAGCCACTTGCTACGGCGGGCACTCATCATGGGGAAAAGAAAGTGGAACAAAAATTCTCTGAATGCTCTTCTAACACTCAATCTTGGTGTGACTAGGGTTGAACAGAAATAAAGTTCTGGATGCAAAGAAAAGCATTAATACTTTCCTGTCCCAGTGCCCATGATGTACCCCTGAAAGACTAAGCTTGCAGAAGAATCTCCTACATCCAGCATGTCCACTTTTTAGCCTGGTGACAGTAAGGTCCAATAGAGAGATTGAGTTTCCCCAGTGAGGACACAGCAATAAAAACCTGACAGGGGTTCTAACTCTTCTCTACTCCATCTAAAACTAACCCTGAATGAACTCCCATATTGCCATACTCCCCTTACGGGTGTCCATACAGAAGGCACTATTACAATGTTATCAAGCTAGCAATTCCCATATGTGTAGATGTTGGGATTTTTCCGACTATGCAAACTCGTTTCCTGTAAGACCTCGGCACGTATGGGCCTTGATGATCTCTCCTGATCTCCCGGCTGTTCTCTAATTATGTCTGTAAACTTTGCTGGTGACCCAGTTGGACAGAATGTGGGTCTTTCAGCCAACTCATCATGGACACCTTTTATCACCACGACAGATCTGGAGCTCGAGAAGCTCATTATGCCTAGCGCAGAGTATGGGGAGCTCTCATTAGAAACTCTTATAATGAGCGGAAGGCAGACTCGCATCCAATCGCATTTCATTGCTTATGTGTCAGCTTTCCCAAGGGACGCAGAAGGATAAATTCTGCAAGAAAAAAAAACATATTATTTAAATCTCAAATCCGGCCTCACCATAAAGATATTTATTTAGTGTGGTAGCTACTGTATATCTCCTATGTAGCCAGTCATTTCCTCCACTATACTTATATTGTAGCTGAGGAACTTCTGGCCTGAATGGCCCCCAGCATTCTCCAGCCCCTTCCTCAGCAACCTGGGCGTCATGGACATGCCCCCTAAATTTTGGTATAACAGTAGTGGCATTACATGGAGCCACCATCAACCCCCCTCACATAAAGACCACATACTCCCCATGAGCCCTAAAGCATTTGGAAATTTCTAGGCATGGTGTGGATAGAGCTGATAATGAGCATGTGGGCAAACCACTCCATGTAGTGCTCCAGCCTCTTCTTCAGTGGCCTGGGTGTCATGGACATGCCCTTAAAGTTTGTTATGACAGTAGCAGCCAGGGGCGGACTGACAACTCATGGGGCCCCCGGCAATAGGGGATCATGGGGCCCCCGTGTCCTTGCCCAAACTCAAAAGAGCCTATGAAAAAGGTACCAGGGGCATCTCATGGGGCCCCCTACTGACCCCGGGCCCTCGGGCAGTGCCCGAGTTTCCAAATGGTCAGTCCGCCCCTGGTAGCAGCATTACATGGAGCTGCTGTCAACTCCATCCACATAATCTCAAGATCAGGGGCAGACTGACCATTTGGAAACTCGGGCACTGCCTGAGGGCCCGGGGTCAGTAGGGGGCCCCATGAGATGCCCTTGGTACCTTTTTCATAGGCTTTTTTGACTTTGGGCAAGGACCCGGGGGCCCCATGAGTTGTCAGTCCGCCCCTGCTCAAGATACTTCCATAAGCCTTCAAGCTTTCGGGAGTTCCTAGATATGGTGTGGATGGGGCTGAGAGTAGGCATGTGGGAAAACCACTCCATGTAGGGCTCCAGCCTTTTCCTCAACTGCCTTAGTATCATGGACACGCCCTTAAAGTTTGTTATGACAGTAGCAGCATTACATGGAGCCGCTGTCAACGCCACCCACATAATCTCAAGATGCTCCCAAAAGCCCTCAAGCTTTCGGGAGTTCCTAGATATGTTGTGGATGGGGCTGATGGTGGGCATGTGGGAAAACCCCTTCATGGAAGGCTCCAGGTCCTTCCTCAGCAGTATGGGTGTCAAGGATACACTCCCTAAATGTTGTAATGACAGTAGCAGCATTATACAGAGCTCCACCAATCCACACCCATATAATCTCAAGATACTTCCATGAGTCCTCAAGCTTTGTTTGGGTGGGGCTGATGGCGGGCTTGTGGGCAAACCACTCCATGGAAGGCTGCTGCCATAATAAGGCCATTGTCACAGTGTTGTACCAGGGTGCATCCTGTAGATTCCCCCTTCCAACTGGCATCTGGATGTAAGGGTGCTGAGCAGACTCTGATGATGTCAGAGGGTCTGATGCACCCCAACAAAACAGGGAGTAATTACATTATTTTATGTATGTTTGTGCAAAACAGTAATTGAGGTGTTGGGATGAATATTTACTATGTGTGGAGATGGATCACAATCTTTTTAGAAGTATACGTAAAGCTAACTGTAAACTCATTTTGCAGTATTTTAAATTCTGCAACTTTCATTAAAATAAATATCAGGTGATCCTGCCATTAGTCCTTTGTTCAGGCACTTAGTGTTATAAGATTGCGGGGGGTGCATTGTGGCGCGGGCAGTAAATACACAGTTGCAGTAAACTTGGAACTCGTTTTGAAGAGAATGCCAATGTTCCAAATACCCCAGTGGGAGAGCACTGCGAGGGAAATAACTCTCAGTTCAATGCAGTTATGTGTGGTTGAGGAGTGCCGACAGTGTCTGTTTCAGAGGGCGAAGTGCAGTCTGATCCCAAGAGGGGAGACTTCTATCAAGAAAGCAAGTCCCTAGCCTTTCCCTCTTTATCAAGAACCTTTCCCGACCACTGGTTACTCTCTCTAACAAGCAGGGTCAAAACCTGGGGGGGCAGGGACTTAAATAGACCTTGCTGACCCAAGATGGCTGCTAAGGGTTACATGGCAGCAGCGTAGCCAGTCAGAACATTGCTCCATTGATCCAGGAAACCAGAGAGGAACAATGTTTCCCTTGGACTTCCTTTCCAGGCTGTGGTACCACTCAGGTCAAGCACCACCTACAAGACTGCACCTGCCTACAAAGTTGAACTTGATGTGAGGACTCTGGTGGTGACCCTAATATAAGAGGGGACTCTGATAGGGAATATGATGTAACGTGGCACTCTGGTGGGGACCCTAATGTAAAGGGTTGCTCTGATGGGAACTGTGGTGTAAGGGGGACTCTGATGTAAGTGGAGACTCTGGTGAGACTCTGATGTAAGGGGGAATTTGATAGGGACTCTGATGTAATAGGGACTCTGATGTAAGTGGGGCTCTATTAGGGAACCTGATGTAAGAGGGGACTCTGATAGAGAACCTGATGTAAGGGGGCACTTTGGTGGGGACTCTGATGTAAGGGGGACTTTAATGTAATAAGGACTCTGAGAGGGACTCTGATGTAAAGTAGCACTTTGGTAGACTGTAATGTAAAAAGGGGCTCTGATGGGGACTCTGGTGTAAGGGGCACTCTGATGTAAGTGGAGATTCTGATGGGATCTTTGATGTAAGGGGGACTTTGATATGGAATCTGTTGTAAGGTTGCACTCTGGTGGGGACCCTGATGTACATGGGCACTCTGATGTAAGGAGAACTCGGATGGGGACTATGATGTAAGGGGGACTTTGATAGAGACTGTGATGTAATGGGGACTCTGATCTAAGGGGGAATTTGATGGGGACTCGGGTATAAGTGGGTTCTCTGGAGGGGACTCTGGTGTAAATGGGTACTCTGATAGGGACTCTAATGTAAGTGAGAACTCTGGTGGTGACCCTGATGTAAGGGGGGCTCTGATAGGGAACCTGATGTAAGGGGGCACTCTGGTGGGGACTCCGATGTAAGAGGAACTTTAATGTAGTAAGGACTCTGATAGGGACTCTGATGTGAGGACTCTGGTGGTGACCCTGATGTAAGAGGGGACTCTGATAGGGAATCTGATGTAAAGTGGCACTCTGGTGGGGACCCTGATGTAAAGAGAACTCAGATGGGGGCTGAGATGTAAGGGGGACTTTGATAGAGACTGTGATGTGATGGGGACTCTGATGTAAGGGGGAGTCTGATGGGGACTCTGGTGTAAGTGGGGTCTCCGGAGGGGAGGGGACTCTGGTGTAAGGGGTCAGTAGGGGGCCCCATGAGATGCCCCTGGTACCTTTTTCATAGGCTTTTTTGAGTTTGGGCAAGGACACAGGGGCCCCATGATCCCCTATTGCCTGGGGGCCCCATGAGTTGTCAGTCAGTGAAGACTCTGGTGGTGACCCTAATGTAAGGCAGAACCTGATGTAAGGTGGCACTTTGTTGGGGACCCTGATCTACAGGGGGACTCTGATAGGGACTCCAATGTAAGTGAGGACTCTGGGGGAGACTCTGCTATCAGGGGGAATCTGATGGGGATTTTTTTTTTTTGCGCTTTAAAAGTTTGTAGAACATACGGCGTGCCCCTTGTTCTGAAACGTTTGCAAAGTGCTGTTCTGTTTCTTCCCTGAGAGGTGCCTCTTGTAAACGTTGTCTTCCGTCAGTTCCTTCCTCCTGAATGTGCATCGCCATCCACAGCACCCCAGCCCCTCTCCATTCCTCACGGCTCCCGTGATGTCGCGCAGCAATGCAGACAATGCGCACAAAGTACTCACACGCTTCATATCGATTCATACCATTGTCCGCGCTCGCTGAAACTTCTTACCGCCACCAGTCAATCAAAATGGCCATTTAGTTATTTGGCCCTCCACATATGTGTCCTGAGCGATGACGCACCGCCGGGGGAGCAAGAGGCCCTTAAAGTGCAATTCCAGCTTCAAGCGAGATTTCAGGAATACGCACACAGCCTCAGCAACCAGCACAATTCCATTTCTCCAGGTTTTGCTTGTTGCTGTTATTGATTTTTCAAATACATCATTGATAGATGTCCCCAATCAACCCCCAACCCCCCCCCCCCCCCCCCCCCCCGGTAAAACTCTGTAGCTAACGTTTAGCGCTTCCCTAACATTTGAGGATTTGTCTCTAATGCAGGCCATAGACGGGTCGAAAACCGCCCGTTTAAAAAAAAAAAAAAAAACGAAAAATCGGTCGTTCAATAGGCCGACGTTACCACCAATGGTAAAAAAAAGGCCGATTTTCATCCCGTCTACGGCCAGCATTTATTACTTCTGTCCCTGCAGAGAGCTCCACTATTATATTTGACATGAAAAAGTATTGCGGTTGCAACAATGTATCCATTTGTATCCATTTCGGATACAGATGTTTTTATTCGGATACAAATAGATACATTGTTGCAACTGCAAGACTTTTTCATGTCAAATATAATAGCGGTCTGGAATTCTTTTTCTTCTTCTTTTTCTTTTTCTTCTTCTTTTTCTTCTTCTTTTTCTTCTCCTTCTTCTTTTTCTTCTTTGTCTTCTTTTTCTTCTTCTTTTTCTTCTCCTTCTTCTTTGTCTTCTTATTTTTCTTCTTCTTCTCCTCCTTCTTTTTCATCTTCTTTTTCATCTTCTTTTTCTTCTTCTTCTTCTTGCAGGTCATGGCTCATGCGCAGATTTTTTATCTGTGAAAAGATCGGCCAATTTGCACATCGTTGCCAGGAAAATCAGCCAATAAGCAAAATCGGCCATTTTTTTTTCCAACTTTACCAATAAAAAAAATGTGCCCAAACCCCGAAAAACGACCAACCAATTAACCCACTAACGGTGCGAAAATCGGTCTATTTTTTTTCGGAAGAAAAATCGGCCGATTTTCGACCCGTCTATGGCCTGCATAAGGCTACAGTTGCAAGAAAAAGTATGTGAACCCCTTGGGATTACGTGGAGTTTTGCATGAATTGGGCGTAAAATGTGCTCTGAATATCATCTAAGTCACAACAATAGAAGAACACAGTCTGCTGAACATAATACTACACAAACATTAGATGTTGCCATGGTTTAATTGCACATAACATGTAAACATTCACAGTGCATGGAGGAAAAAGTATGTGAGGCCCTAGCTTAATGACTTCTCCCAGAGCTAATTGGAGCCAGGAGTGAGCCAACCTTGACTCCAATCAGTGTGATGATATTGGATGTGTTGCTGACAGCTGTCCTGCCCTTAAAAAACACACACCTGTTTTGGGTTTACTGGTTTCAAGAAGCACTGTCTGATGTGAACCATGCCTCGCAGAAAAGAGCTCTCAGAAGACCTACCATCAAGAATTGTTGACTTGCATGAAGCTGGAAAGGGTTACAAAAGTATCTCCTTGAGCCTTGATGTTCATGTGTCCACGGTAAGACAGACTGTCTACAAATGGAGAAAGTTTAGCACTGTTGCTACTCTCCCTAGGCGTGGTCGTCCTGTAAAAATGACTGCAAGAGCACAGCGCAGAATGCTGCATGAGGTAAAGAAGAATCCCAGAGTGTCAGCTAAAGACCTACAGAAATCTCTGGCACATGCTAACATTTTTGTTGCCACACCTACAATAAGGAAAACATGAAACAAGAATGGAGTACATGGGAGGACACCACGGAGGAAGCCATTGCTGTCCAAAAAGAATATTGCAGCACGTTTGAAGTTTGCAAAAGAGCACCTGGATGTTCCACAGCACTACTGGCAAAATATACTGTGGACAGATGAAACCAAGATTGAGTTGTTGGAAGAACACACAACACTATGTGTGGAGAAAAAAAGGTACAGCACACCAACATCAAAACCTCATCCCCACTGTGAAACATGGCGGAGGGAGCATCATGGTTTGGGGCTGCTTTGCTGCCTCAGGGCCTGGATGGATTGTTGTCATTGATGGGAAAATTAATTCCAGAGTTTATCAAGACATTTTGCAGGAAAACGTACGACCATCTGTCCGCCAACTGAAGCTCCACAGAGGATGGGTGATGCAACAGGACAATGACCCAAAGCATACAAGTAATTCAACAAAACAATGGCTGCAACAGCACAGAATACGCCTTCTGGAGTGGCCCAGTCAGAGTCCTGACCTCAACCCGATTGAAATGCTGTGGCATGACCTTAAGAGAGCGATTCACACCAGACATCCCAAGAATATTACTACACTGAAACAGTTTTGTGAAGAAGAGTGGTCCAAAATGACTCCAGATCGTTGTGCAGGTCTGATCTGCAACTACAGGAAAACGTTTGGTTGAGGTTATTGCTGCCAAAGGAGGGTCAACCAGTTATTAAGTCCAAAGGTTCACATACTTTTTCCTCCCTGCACTGTGAATGTTTACATGTTATGTGCAATTAAACCATGGCAACATCTAATGTTTGTGTAGTATTATGTTCAGCAGACTGTGTTCTTCTATTGTTGTGACTTAGATGACGTTCAGAGCACATTTTATGCCAAATTCATGCAAAACTCCACGTAACCCCAAGGGGTTCACATACTTTTTCTTGCAACTGTATGTTCACACTAGCTTTGTTAGCAAGCAACAGACAGGTAAATCTAAAGGAAATTGGGCAGAAATTGGACAGAAAATTGTATAGTGTATGGCCAGCCTAACTGATAGTGGGGAAGAGATGAAGCACGGAAGTGGATGAAGTTGATGGTGGACTAGGATGAAAATTGTACCCTTTACAATTATGCACAGTCTCAAGGTACCCTATTTTAAAATGTAAAACAACTAAATAATTAGTTTAAATAATACAGCAACATCCACACACATAGGACATCCAACATTAGAGGTGATTTATTCTTCCAAAGCAAATACATCTTTGCAAACTGGAACTATCATTCTAGCATTTATCTTGTCCCTCAGATTTCTCACCTTCACTCAGCTAATATACCCGAGTGCTGACGGAGCGGGGCAAGGCAGGGGCACACAAGATGCTATGCAGGCGCAACATCCACTTTGTCAACCGATGACATCATTGTTTGTCAGGACGTCAGCAGCTGGAATGTTGTAATGGTGCACAATGAAAACGTGGCTTTGTGTATAGTAACTAAAAGGCAGGTTTGATCTACCACTGGCGTATTTTGGGGCAATTTTTAGGTGTTTTGTCAAGGTACCCCTAAGGAGACCTGAAGGCACCCTGGTTAAAACAGGTTGGTATAACTTACTGAGGGAAAGGTTTGAAAGACTGAAGTTTCTGGTGGGGTAGGATGATAACTGACTGTGTTGGAACACACAGGTTAATGGTCGAGTAGTATTATAAGTCCCAGAGGAGAAGGTGTGAAGGACAGAAGTTAATGGTGGGGTAGGAAGACTTTGGGGATAGTGTGGAGGACAGAAGTTAATGGTGGGGTAGGAAGACTTTGGGGATAGTGTGGAGGACAGAAGTTAATGGTGGGGTTGGATGACTTTGGGGATTGTGTGGGGAGATAGAAGTTGATGGTGGGGTAGGATGACTTTGATGATGGTGTGGAGGACAGAAGTTGGTGGTGGGGTAGGATGACTTTGATGATGGTGTGGAGGACAGAAGTTGGTGGTGGGATAGGATGACTTTGGGGATGGTGTGGGAGACAGAAGTTGATGGTGGGGTAGGATGACTTTGATGATGGTGTGGAGGACAGAAGTTGGTGGTGGGGTAGGATGACTTTGATGATGGTGTGGAGGACAGAAGTTGATGGTGGGGTAGGATGACTTTGGGGATGGTGTGGGAGACAGAAGTTGATGGTGGGGTAGGATGACTTTGATGATGGTGTGGAGGACAGAAGTTGGTGGTGGGGTAGGATGACTTTGGGGATGGTATGGGAGATGGAAGTTGATGGTGGGGTAGGATGACTTTGGGGATGGTGTGGAGGACAGAAGTTAATGGTGGGATAGGATGACTTTGGGGATGATGGGAGACAGACGTTGATGGTGGGGTAGGATAGGATGACTTTGGGGATGGTGTGGAGGACAGAAGTTGATGGTGGGGTAGGATGACTTTGGGGATGGTGTGGAGGACAGAAGTTGGTGGTGGGGTAGGATGACTTTGGGGATGGTGTGGAGGACAGAAGTTAATGGTGGATAGGATGACTTTGGGGATGGTATGGGAGACAGAAGTTGATGGTGGTGGGGTAGGATGACTTTGATGGTGGGAGGACAGAAGTTGGTGGTGGGGTAGGATGACTTTGGGGATGGTATGGAGAACGGAGTGGAAGTTGATGGTGGGGTAGGATGACTGACTTTGGGGATGGTGTGGAGGACAGAAGTTGATGGTGGGGGGATGGAAAAACTGACTGTGGGGAAGGTGTGGAGGAAAAAAAAATGATGGTGAAGTAGGGTTATAAACCACTGAGCGGACAATGTGGAAGACAGAAGATGATTGGA